TTGTAAAAGAAATGTTCTGCGCAAATGTCAGTACCCAACCTCCCCCTGCTGCCATCACCGAAAACACAGTTTTACTAGTTTCTGTCCTGTCTTGTTTTCATATTAAAAATACATTTTAATTATTGCTTTTAATTTTAATAATGATATACTGTACTATATATCCTGATGCATGCTCAAAAATCCAGGTAGAAAAATCCAAAAAAGCTAAATCTGGTCCTCTGGACATTAAAAAAAAAAAATGTAGAAACGTTTTGTCATTCATCCAAAAGACTTCTTCAGTCTGAGGTGCTGTATTCAGCTCAGTCTTATAAATAGCACCCTCTTGCAATGGATCAACCAGTTTGCTGCCGACAGCCAAAACCAGCTGCTCACATAATCGGTGAGGAATCATGGTCCTCCTTGATTATGTGAGCAGCTGGTTTTGGCTGTCTGCAGCAAACTGGTTGATCCACTGCAAGAGGGTGCTATTTATAAGACTGAGCTGAATACAGCACCTCAGACTGAAGAAGTCTTTCGGATGAAAGACGAAACGTTTCTACAATTTTTATTTTTTTTAATGTCCAGAGGACCAGATTTAGCTTTTTTGGACATACTGTACTGTAAAAAGGGTACTTACTCAGGTAGACACTGAAATTGATTTTTTTTCTTTGCTCAAGTATATTTGTAAAAGTATGTTTTGGTGCAAAATTTTATTTTATTATTTTTCAAATGTATTATATACCAAAAATATGTTTTGGTGCAGGCAGCACGGTGGCACAGTTGGTAGAGCTGCCGCCTTTCAGCAAGCAGGTCATGTTCAAATCCCGGCTGGGGCCCTTTCGGGGTGGAGCTTGCAAGTTCTCTCTGTGCGTGTGTGGGTTTTCTCTGGGTACTCCGGTTTCCTCCCACAGACCAAAAACATGCATGTTAGGCTGATTGGTAACTCTAAATTGACCCTAGGTGTGAGTGAGAGAGTGAATGGTTGTCTCATTTGTCTTCATGCATCCCTGTGATTTTTTTTGCGACCTGTCCAGAGTATACCCCCGACTGTACTAAAATGTAGCTGTCCTTAACCTAATATTGTTCTAATCCTTATCAAGGCTCCAGAGTACAACCATTTAGCCACATTTTTGTGTCAGTTTTAGAGAATAATTCACTATAGGCACCAAAACAAGTTGTAAATATGCCTTGAGCTTTAATTTTCCTTCTTCTTTACCTTATTCATGAATTATGAAACACTAGGAGGGTTTGATAAGATTGGGGTTTTTAAATTAGTAGGCGATCTTGTTATTTATGAAGCATTTCAGTAGGCACACTCAAGTAGTTTAAAATCTATTGTAAAAATACCACATGTATTGTTATGCTCACCGTGTGACCTGACGTTTGCAATGAATGCTATTTTACTAATGTTATTGTAAACTTTAAACAGAAAACTTAGAGAACTTTACTAATCAGCTTTTTTATGTATGTGAATGTTCCTGTAAAGTGCCCTGAGACAGCTTTGTTGTGATTTGGCGCTATATAAATTAACTGTATTGAATTAAAAACACATTTGCAGCACACTGCATGACCGTAAATTGCAGTGATGAACTGCAGTACATACGCAACTATGGTAAATGGACTGTACTTTATATAGCGCCTTTCTATATTATCGAGATACTCAAAGCGCTTTACACTACAATCTGTGCCCTCATTTACCCATTTAGAACACATTCAAACACTGATGGAACACACATTGGAGGCAATGAGAGGTTCAGTGTCTTGCCTAGGGACACTTCAGCATGTGGCAGCTGGTGGAATCAAACCCCCAACTCTCGCATTGGAAGACGACTGCTCTAACCACTCAGCCACTGCCGCCCACCCAACTATAGCAGTGTTGATAGAAAAAGTTAGTCTGAAGTCCTGCCTGTAAAGAACTGACCCTTGAATATCTAGTTTTACAACTGTTCTAAGGATTATTTGTATAAAAAAAAGGCAAACTTTTTTTTAATTTGTTTATGTGGAGTAAAACCTTCACATATATCCTGATAAAACTTTGTTTGTTATTGTTTTCTAACCTTTAATAAGTTAGACATTTTTTACTTAAAATATTTTGTTGCTGATTGTTTAGAGTTGCATCGGGACGTTTGTCTTGAGTTGAACGAGACTCAACTTTGGAACTTGATAACCCAACTGATGATAACCCATTCATTTTCAAGTCCTACTTGTAACTTGTTGCCTAACTCTTACAACAGTGCTGCATTTATTTAGGATTGTAGTATATTTTCTTATATAGTTCCTATTTTTTTTTGTTTTTTTTCACTCTCGTTTTGTAGACAATTTTTAAATTAGCAAATTTCAAACCATCCTACAATAAATGCATCAAAAAATTGAACCAAAATCAGCATTTTAAATAATAATAATAATAATAATAATGTGTATGTATCGTCATCATTATATATTTCCATACAATGGCAAAATTGGCTCTCTGCATTTAACCCATCCACCACCAGGTGGAGCAGTGGGCAGCTATTGAGAGCACCCAGGGAGCAACTGGGGATGGAGTGTCCTGCTCAGAGACACCACAAAGTGTACAATGACTGGGGATTGAACCCGGGACCTGTCATAAAGTATGTAAACTTGGCTATTTAGTATTATCACAGGGTTACAGAGTACTTATGATGTTCAAATCTCTAGGAGGACAAATGCAGTGGTAACCCTCTAAAAAAGGTAGACCTCAGTGCTGTCCTGTTAGACCTGCTGGTGCTTCATTTCATACAGTTGATCACATTATTCTATTACAGAGACTTGAATATGATATTGGGATTACAGGAACAACTCTAAATTGATTGAAATCATATTTATCTGATATATTCCAATTTGTAAATGTAAATAATGAATCTTCTTCATACACCAAAGTTAGTCATGAAGTTCCTCAGGGTTCAGTGCTTGGACCAATACTCTTTACCTTATATATGCTTCCATTAGGTAAAGTTATTAAGCATCATGGGATAAATTTTCATTGTTATGCTGATGATACACAGTTATATTTGTCCATGAAACCCAATGAATACAATCAGTTACTTAGACTACAAGCATGTCTTAGACATATAAACATGGATGACCCTAAATTTTCTACTTTTGAATACAGACAAGACTGAGGTTTTGGTTTTTGGACCTGAGCATCTTGGGACTACATATTGCAGTTCATCGCCCTCCTTGGATGGCATTAATTTGGCCTCCAGCTAGGGGTGAGCTATATGGCTCAAATATAATATTGCGATATTTCAAAGCATTCTGACAATAACAATAAATTTTTTGATATAACAAACAAAAAATAAATAAAAATCATAGTTATTCATTTGACAAAATTAATTTAACATGTTGCTTTGCAGTATTATATGTATTTATGTATGTATGTATGTATGTATGTATGTATGTATGTATGTATGTAAACAAGGGTTATTTTTACTGTAATTGCTTTATTTAGTAAAGTATTCAGTCTAAAAGTATAAAAAATATCCTTCTGTTATTTAGATTAAAAAAGTCACCACAAAACTAAAGTGCAGGTGCAGTTCCCAAATAAACTAAATAAAATTGAAGCTTAAGATCTGTTGAGCATAAATGTAAACTACAACAAAAAATATGTTGCCTTTAAATGAGCAACATATAATTTAAATATAACTTCTAGAACTTGTGACAAGTTGTCTTCAGCTGACCCTGCAGCTTGTGCTGGTGTTTCAGCTTCCTCTATTCCTCGCAGGAATTATTCAATTTCTCTGACTGCTCTGTCTTTGATTACCTGGCTCTTTTCTTGGTCCATGTACTGTGGAACCGTGGCTCAAGAGACACAGCTGAGCACGTTGTTTGGGGAGGGGGGCTCAGCGTGAGGGAAGAGACAGTGTAAGCGATGCCTTTAGCTTTTTAGCTATATTGCGCGCGGCTAGCTCAGCGTTACGCCAGTACCAGTGGAGTGGTGGGGGGTGCGCAGCTCGGTTCGGTGGTTCAGCGTGCTCGGTTCTGTTAACGGGCAGGGCGCCCCGCTTGTATAATGGTAGGGGAAACACTGACATATTTACGTCATGAAATTAGCATATCATAATATAATTTATTTTTCCCCGGGCAAGTTTTTTTTTTTTTTACCGGTATTCTCGTGAACAATGTGATATGGTCCAGCCCTACCTCCAACTCTAATGTTAAAAATCTTGATGTTATTTTGATCAGGACATGTCTTTTAACCCCCACATTAAAAAACGTTTCTAAAACTGCCTTCTTCCACCTGCATAATACCGCTAAAATTAGAAACATCTCATCTAAAAATCCATCCATCCATTATCTTTTACCCGCTTCTTCCATTTTGGGTCACGGGGGTCGCCGGTGCCCATGTCCAGCAATCACTGTGCGAGGGGCGGAGTACACCCTGGATGGGTCGCAAGTGCATCACAGGGCCACATGGAGACAAACAACCATTTACACTCTCACCTAGGGACAATTTAGAGTTACCAATCAGCCTAACATGCATGTTTTTGGTCTGTGGGAGGAAACCGGAGTACCTGGAGAAAACCCACGCATGCACAGAGAGAACATGCAAACTCCACTCAGAAAGGCCCCTGGACCTGGATTTGAACCAGGGACCTTCTCGCTGAGAGGCAGCAGCTCTACCAGTTGCGCCACCATGCTGCCCCTCATCTAAAAATGATGCAGAAAAACTAGTTCATGCATTTGTCACGTCTAGACTGGACCATTGCAATCGTTAATTATCTGGGTGTCCAAATACTTCTTTAAAGAGTCTTCAGTATATACAGGTCCTTCTAAAAAAAATAGCATATTGTGATAAAGGTCATTATTTTCCATAATGTAATGATAAAAAT